AAGCATAAGTATTCTCGTCCTTGTTTTCGAATGCAATAGTTTTGTACTCAGTTCTGTAAAAGAAAAAAAAATAATTAATGGCATGATACACCCAAAAAAATAAATGGTTTCAGCTTGTGACATGAAAATGAATATGAAATTGGTTAAAATTGTAGCGGAAACGTTACGGACATTTCTCACTCTCTCTCACAGATTAGTACTGCATAAAGCTGGTGTGTTATATGCCTTCATTTTATTCATGCATCGACAATCTGTATCAATTAAACCGTGCATACATCACATGAGTATATACAGAATTGTATAATTAATTAAAAAGCTATATTTTAAATTTCGAATATTTAAAACAATATTTGGGTCCACCAAATCAAAACGAAGCACATATGCCTATAATGTTGAACTCTGTAGAAAAAAGTTTCTTTGTAAACCGATGTTTATATCGTATAACCTATGTTGCCTACTTAATCATGACCTGTGATGCCCTTTAAATCACGCCAAAATGTTATCCATCCAATTTACGTTACTTTTTATACATGAAAATGCTCATTTACAAGGAATTTGAACTCATATAACCTTGTTTGATGAAGTTTAACCTTTTTTTTTAAATAAATGCCTTGTGGTTTATAAAGTGCAAACTGCTTCAACCAAGGTTACAAAAAATTAGTTCGGTAGCTTTGAAATTCATTCCCTAAATATTTTGTCATATGCTTTTCATCAAAACTAAAGATTGTCTTCCTGTATATACATTCTCTGGTATCAATTCTCGACGTCGCGTCTCTTCTCGTTTAAAGTTACACTGAGTTCTTAGAAAAATTAATCGACTAATTTATTACAATCATTCGATAATTCGCCAATTTCTTGTAGTAAACGTAATGTTCTTTTAACATAATTACACACATCACCAAGAGACCCGAACAATTGATTTTCACAGCAATAATTTGCCTAATACTAAATAGTTGTCAACGTGTTGACTCAGCGCAATATTAGAAAGAATCTGCAATTCATTTTAAATAATCCATGACAAGAAAGTACTCTGATTCTGTGGTTTATAAATACTGAAAAAAAAAAAGAAACGTGGGGTAGCATAATATTCCCCCCTTTTTTTTTTTTTTTTTTTGACCGCGTGACCGAACATTTCGAAAATTGGTCTGATAGAAATTTGGCAACTATGCGCCAAAATCAGTGGTCAGAATTACTAAATTTATGACGTAACGTATGGAAAGAGCTAAAAACGCTAAAACATGCGCAAATTGAAGACGAATATTGATGAATTTGTCAGCACCTCTTGTACCATTTGATACACTTGAGGTATTCACATAGTGTACTAATATTTACATATGATAAGGATTTCTTGTAATCTTGGTACAACTGAGAGAAGTTCCAAAGGGTCTGGGGCCCGTTTTACAAAAGGTCGTAAGTCGTAGACTTGGTCGTACGACCGAACTTACGACATACGACCGTTTTACAAAGATTTGAGACTTGCGAGTTACGACGAAATTCGGTCGTAAGTCTACGACCACCCGGGGGCTGTCGCAAGTCCTAAGTTTCGTCTCAAAGGTGTTCTATAAGTCGTTGTTACTATGGTAAATAAAAACATTGATAATGGCTGCTTTTCTTTTTCTTGATGTTGTTGATAAAATGCACAAAAAGAGAGGTAAGAGAGGGTATTTCGGGACAGAAATATCCAAGTGGTCGGTCTATTTGTCCGATGCCGAGTTAATCGAGGTACCGATTGCCGAGGCAATGCCTTCACGACATCATAGATAGCCTATAGTGCGGGGTTATGTTGAAAGACCAACAAGAAAAAGTCAATGACATGCTGTTCCCGCAGAAATACATACCTTTATTAATATCTAGATGCATTTTATTGTCCATTCATTCATTACACTCCACAAAACGCACGTCATTTCCTGATTATGTCGTCATAAGTTTGTGTGTATGCCGCAAAGGCACGGATCAAACAATTTATAAGCGGCAGGTGCGTGTCAAATATTACACTCCGAGGTTAAGCCTAGAGACATTTCTTATATTTACCACTGGTGTTCAGTTTTAGTACATGTACAAAGGTATATACACACGGTCAACTTATGAAACATTTTATTTTAATTTTTTTAGTACTTTAAAACAATCTGTTAAAAAGAATTCCCAACCTGAAAATATTTTCTTTTATATTTACAAACTTATGCTAGTATAAACATATAAGAATATTGTCATCAATGTTGCCTGAATTTTTCTTTTTAATCCATCATCGCAAAATAAAAAAAAAACTGTCTTTGAGAAAAAGAATATATATAATTTACATAGATATAGATATACATAGGTCTGCATGATTTTATTTAAATCAATTTTATATATTAAAAAAATATGTACAATATCTTTTTCTACTCCCCCCCCCCCCCCCTTTAAGAAAAAAATAATTCAAGAATTTTTAAAATTAATTTTATGAAATACCGGTAATTCAAATTATAACGATTTTCGAAATGTCTTCTTATTAATCAAATTTAATTTGTTAATGACTCCCAAAAACGTTACAATTTGAAAATGTACTGTTTAATAGAAGGATTTATAACAAAAAAAATTCAATGGGAGGGGCCGGTGCATTTTTCTCTTAATTTTTATGGGAAAAAATCGAAGTTCTTCTTATCTATTCCTATTTATAAACAACTGCGAAGTGATTTCTTGTACATGTAAATCTTAAGAAATTCTTAATCCGTAATCCAGTACAATCATATAGATGTAAAATAGACCAGAAAAAACATTTTTAACTTCATACGTGATGCATTTAATATAAAAAAAAACTGTGCGACTATATGTTTGTTTACTTTTTCACATGTGATTTTTTTTTGTCAAATAAAATAAATAAATATTTGGCATGAAATATCTCCAAAACTTCCTCCCAGACTTGAGCTTTTTTTTCTCTGTCGTCAAAAATAGCAAAAGTTTTCTTTTCATTTTATGAATGGGATCAACAACGCAATAAACAAGAACAGAGATCTCTTCTTGTCGCCAATTTACTTTTTAAAAAAGACATTTTGGATATAAATTGTCTGCGCGTCATCGCGCATTAGTTGGCGCGGTATCTAAGTTATTTTCACCTTTACGCGTTAGAGAGTTCCTTTACGACTTGCGATGAAAGTTACGACTTAGGAGTTACGACATGCGATTACGACACGTTTCGTAAAACGGTCCAACGATTTATCGTAAGATCGGAAAATTTAAGTCTTACGACCTGCGATTTACGACCTTTTGTAAAACGAGCCCCAGGTTTTTACATGGACCTAGTAAGGAAAAAGATTACAACAGGGTATGCGTAGTTTTGTTGCAATCCCCTCACCTTAGAACGTCTCAAAGTGGCTTTCGTAATAGTTAAAACAAGAGGCCCATGGGCCACATGGCTCACCCGAACACTTTGGCTAGTTCAGTATTTTATGAGTGGTATCAACCTATCCGTTAGGGGAGCAGGCATGATTTGAACTTGAAGCTACACTGACTTACTATGTTACCATATTTCTTTGACAAAACATTGCTATGAAAAATTTGATGGTTCGTTGTGGCCCCACCCCACTCTAAGGGGTCATGATTTGAAAAATTTAAAAACTTCAATCCACACAACCTGAGGATATTTCTACATGAGTTTCATTTACTCCAAGGATCATGATTTGAACAAATTGAAATCTACACTACTTAAGGATGCTTTCACATAAACGACCAATCATGCCTTTCATGCTGTTTTTGAGAAGATTTTTCCCATATATTTCTACATAAAACTTCGTCCCTTGTGGTTCCGCCCTACCCCGGGGTTCATGATTTGATTAAACTTCAATCATCACCACATAAGGATGCTTCCATATAAATATGACCGATTATGGCTTTGCTGTTCTTGAGAAGAAGATTTTTAAGATTTTCCTTATACATGTATATTTCTATATAAAACTTTGATCGTCTCTTCTGCCTCCCTCCCCCCTATCACGGGGTCATGATTTGAACAAACTTCAATCTACACTTCCTGAATATGCTTCCATATAAATATGACCGATCAAGGCTTTGCTGTTCTTGAGGAGAAGATTTTTTAAGATTTTCCCTATATATTCCTATGAAAAAATTTGATCGTCCATCGTGACCCTGCCCTACCCCGGGCTGTCACGATTGAACAAACTTCAATCTACACTCCATAAGGAAGCTACCTTATAAATTGTACCAATCATGTCTTTGCTGATCATGAGAAGAAGATTTTTAAAGATTTTCCACATAAATGTCTAAGAAAAACGTATGTCCTTTTCCGCGGGGGTCATGATTTTAACAAACCTAAATCTACATTACCTGAGAATGTTTCCACATAAGTTTCAACTTTCCTGGCACAGTGGTTCTTGAGAAGAAGATTTTAAAAATATGCCACTATATTTGCACTATTTCTAAATTATCTCCCCTTGATTTAAGGCATGGCTCTTCATTTAAATTAATGTTAAATCCCTATACCCATGGATGCGTTGTGGCAAGTTTGATTAAAATTAATCCAGTGGTTCCTAAGAAGAAACCAAAATGTGAACAGTTTTCAGACAGACGGACGGACAGACGGACTCTAGACAAAATATGATCAGAAATGCTCAGATGCTCAGATGAGCTACTGCGTACATGTATTTACATTTGTAACATAAAGAAGGTGAACGTTGTTTTAAATTCAACACACAAGTACTCTTTCGAAATTTTTTAATGCATTATGAATTTAGGTTTTGTTGTAAAATGTTAATAAGTCAGAATAAATAATTAACATGCCCCTGCTTAACAATAATGATTAAGATGGGAAAATGTATCGACGACGCATCATGTGTTGAGTTTAAACGCAGTTTATACCGGTATATTCCCCCTTCCTCCATCCCCCTTTTTTTTCTTCCTAATAGATACCCATTCATCTTTTCTCCGTCTTTTAATGTCAAAGCATGATACAAGGACATATTACGTCTATACCGAGAAAAAAAATACAAGTAGATATCAGAATTTATTACTTACTGACTGCCATCGTCTGAAATTGGAAATATCAAAAGTGTAAATTTCCTGTTCGTGCAGTTTTCTGAGTATAACGCTATTTTTAACTATCTCAAAGGACTTAACAGAAAGATTTTTATCATTCTATAAATTATATAAAATCTAATTTATCTAACCAATGTTATGACAGTGAGATTGAAAAATCTAAACACGAAGTTACCAATTTCATATGCCATTGTTGTTGTAGTAGTATATTCCGTTTGACAGCTTTCACTAAAAAAACAAAGACACACAATAAATTATTTATTAGACCGGTTGTTAAATTACTAGTAATGTGAATATGTGGCCAGTTTTCATTGACAATGCATCGTACTTTACAATAATACATGCCTTTTTCATGGATCGCCTCCCATTTCTTTCATTATATTTCACCATATGTTTCATTTCATCATATTTTTGGACGTAAAACAACACATATCCCAAAGAACCCAAGTGACTTTGGACTACCATATATATATTTGATTCCGAAACTTCATAAGAATCTTTACAGAGATACATAATGGGTTCAAGTAGCTGTTCAACTAAGCCTCTTAGAAATTGAGTAATCTAACAACCAAGCTCTATAATAAACGTGATGACTTTAACTTTTCTATCGTCAACTTCCCTTATTTATATGTAGCAATATACCTTCATCACCTGCATACGAAGTTTATACTGTATATCTATAGTAAGTTGATTTGACACGCAAGAGCATGCTCTACGTATGAACAATTTCTAAAACGAGGTAAATTATTGATAAACAAGTTGATGAAACAAGAATATCAACTGTTTCGTTTAAAGTCATCATTTGGTAAGTTCTATGGTCGATACAATGACCTTGTCAGCAAATACAATTTTTCTTTGAATCAAATGCTGACTGACATTTTCATACTTATTGTTAGTCTATTATTCATACACTGAATTGACGACGGATGTTTCTGTTATTTCCCGATCATAACAAAGAGTACACGACGGGTGTGACCAGTCGGCCGAGAATGCTTTCTCCTCCATTGCACCTGACCCCGCCTCTGATTTTTGGAGGTCCGTGTTTGCTCTGCTCCTATTTTGGATTGTTTTATGGACTTTTGATCTTGAATACTGTTAGATATCTCCATATGTTTCATACAATCAATCAATCTTTTGTCTGCTGATGTTATAAATTACTGCCATTGAATAAAGTAATGTATGTTGCTAAATCAGGCAATGTTCTTGAACATCGAGTTCATGTATTTCACTATTTTCCTTCTATTTTGTCATACAATATTTTAAAAGTAGAGTATTAAGGTAAGGATTAGAGTTTGGAGGTCTGGCAAGCAAGTATTCTCAAATCAAAAAGGCTTGGAAATTTTTTTCAGTTAGAGCAACACTAAGTGCAATTTTCAGAGCCCTTCCAGCTCTTTCTCTTTGCCGAATCCCTTTCTATTACATTCTGCCGTAGAATAGTTGACAGTGAAAATTCACTGTTTCAGGAGTATCGCTCGTATTGCAATTCTTTGATAATAAACATCTACAATAGGCTTTCTTTTATCAAAAGTTTCCATTTTGATCATTAGCAATCTACTGGAAGTTAATGAATAATGAAAAATTATGGTTAGTTATTTATAAAAACTGCACGAAGCATAAGAATGTATCAAATATTATTCACTGATTACGAACTGATTTCCATTTAAATTTTCTTAAGAAAAAATATTATTATATTATTATGATAAAATTGTCCATGCATCTATTGCAAAGATAAATTAAACATTTTCTAATGTACTGTGACATCACTAATTTTTATTTTTTTATTTTTAATTTTCGTCGTTTTTAAAGTATGAAAGGACCCACGAATTTATGTCCAACACAAAATGCAATTTTTCACATAAATTACTACTTAAGAATTCTTCAACTTCGAAATCAAATCCCCATGAACCAATTTATTTTCCTCAAACTACTCTGTACGAAAATTTGACCCCTCGATAATATTTGATTTAACAGTATTTGAATATGTTGATTAGACATTTATAATTCAGAAAAAAACTCATATGAGTCCTATAAATAAATTGTTGCAGCGAAACATATTTCAGTACGTTTAGATATTTATATTACATGTACACTATACGTACATGTATACTGACAAATTCGAAATTGTAAAAATAAAAAAAAAAGCATGATTGTATATTGACATATTCGAAATGGTAAAAAAAAAAATCATAAACTTTAAATCTAGATAATGTTCAATTTTACCTTACTGATTCGATGCTTTTACTTCGGAAATGTGCTGTAAAGAAAAGATAAGATTTCAAAAAAAAAAAAAAAAATCCCACAAAACAATAACAAAAAATATCGATCATATTAGTAATTTAGTATTATAAATAAAAATACTTTTTTCATAATTTTGTGCCTTTTTTGAAAGGATGTCGGTAGACAAAGACATTGTTTTTTCAAGGAAAATCAATTTTTTTAAAACACTGAATTCAAATAACTTACCGAGTGACCATACATAAACATGTTTATCAGTGACAGTTTTTGTTCTTAACACCATGTAACCTGTTTTTGGATTCTGTTTATTTATAAGTATTTATAATGTGTACTTTTTTTAATTTTCCATATGCCAATATAGTAAGTAATTTATTTAATATTTATTCATAGTGACATGTGTACATAGATTTTTGTTTACAAACTGTATAAAATAACAATTAACACCTGGCCCATCGGGCCTATATGCCACTTTCAAACACAGAATAGAATTTTTGTGGATTTCTTTTTTCTGTATTTGACATGATGTGATGGGCATCTGTACCAAAGATGTATTCTGATTTTAACCAGGATACATTTTTGGTACAAAACAATAAAGGAAACGTTACAGATCCTGTGAATTCCCAATGAATATTTAGATTCAAGTTTGTCTTTTATACGATTTTGGTCTTTAAAACATAAATAAAAAATAAAGTTTTTAAATAACGTATGAAATTGCAAAAGTGTCATGTGAATAATATTTTCCTAATAATTCGATGCGTATTTCGTTAAAAAAAAATTTACTCGGAATAGAAAATTTCATACTTCTCCAGTTTTTAAGGGTTATCTTTTGTCCTTTAGAAATCCTGAATTTATAGATCCAGAGAGCAGTCATAACAAGAAATATCAGTAATAAAACCAGTACAATAGAAATTACAGATATCACCTTAGCTGCGTTCGATGATGACTCAATATCTGCAAATCAAAAACAAAAAAAGATTAAAGAAAGCAAACAAGAATTTGTTTTTATCATAATATTTTCAAATTAAAAGGAGCAGTGATACTTTCAGGAGAATACATGATATTCCTAGAATTTTATTTTCTTTACAACATTTGATATCAATTATACAAAAAGGAATATGACAAACTTCGCAGACACATTACATTTCTTACGAGAGTTTAATTAATTAAGATCAATAAAATATAGAATAACGTGAAGTAGAAGAGATTTTCACTTACTGAAAATTCAATAAAATTTACCACATACACTCATAAACAGATTAAGTTCAACAGCCATCGATTATTTATAAAATCAATTCATGTACTTTTTTGGATAAATACCGTTTACTTACTAGATGGTAAAACAGTTGATAAAAGTATTTCACTATCTGATATATTTCGATATCCTTGTGAATCTACAAATATATAAAATGACAATAATTATATTTGCAACCAACATCTCAGAAATGTTTAAGGCTCTAATTGGAACTGCAACATTTCTAGAATGTTTTAAAAAAAAATGGTTACCACGGGTAATTTTGTCTGCGAAATTGAACGTACATTTTGCCAAACACATAAAAAAAAAAAAAAAATCAGCAATTATAAAAGATCAGATTTCATAAACATTTACTTACATGTAAAAACAGAAAAGACATTGGATTTGTCAGTTAAGGTTTTGCAAGGTCCAAATTTGCAGATAATCCATGTAAAGACATTACTCCGATTCAGCACATATTGTATTTCACTTAATAAATGGTATGCACAAGGTTTGTTCATTTTCACTCGAGTCCTTTTCACGGCGTCATACTCTTCAACTTTCGTTGAGTAACCTCTATAGATACACCAGGTCAAATCTTTACTTTCACTTTCAACAAGAGCTGCACAAGACAGGGTCAGTTCTGTGTTTAGTGGGTACTGTCCGTAGGGAGTCGTGCTGTGACTCCGTGGATATACTTTCATGCTGTCGTATATTAAAGTTTCGGTAGCTGAAATGGTTTTTAAACGAGAATATTTTGCTTTGAAAGCAGATCGGAAGATAGTAAAAATTGTATATTTGTTTGTTCTTTATATCGAGTATAACAAACTTTATAGTGTCATTTGTCATACGAATCATTATATATTGAAATAAGATGAAATCGACATTCTAGAAAAAATTATAAATGAGATTATTTTTTTAATCCACGTTTTTATTTATTATAATTGCAATATAGAAAGTACAAGATCGTTCTGTCAGTCTTGAACGCTTTCATATCATTTATCATTCAGCCTGAGATTTGAACACATTGTGGTTAAGTCTAACCTGATATGGATATTTGTGTATCTTTCATGTAAGTTTTTACACTTCCGTCCGCCATTATAGCCTCCATTTGACATCTATACCTGGCTGAATCCTCACATGACACCTCTGCTCTACTGACCGCTAGTCTTAAGTAGGCAGTGTGGGGATTTCCAGTTTTACCTATTAATCAAATCAAGTATAAAGCATAATAAATTATGCTTGTAGGCGTATATCTAATATTAATGTCGTATTGCGCTATCGTATTTTAAGAAATAAAAAATAAATTTATACACGTGCACATTATTTGAAAATCTCTGAGAGGTTTATGTTTATTTTGAATTATTATAATAATACAGGTGATATGATTAGAACAAAGAGCCGTTCTGATCTGAGTTGTGGGTCTTTCGTTTAAAAAAAATGATTAAAATTCGCAAAAAAAAACTTTAAAAGTAAAAATTAAAAAAATGCTTGAGTTTCTTATTGACAAACTTTATGTAGTTTTTGGAGATCATGTCCAAAAATCTGTAGAAATTCTTGTTGGTTAAAAAATTGAGCCCCATTATAAGCAGATCTATTTTTGTGTCATTTAAAGCAGATTTTTTTTTCAAAAAATTATTCATAAGAAGAGAAAAAAAACTTGCAGTGACTCTTAACTTGATATTTAGATATACTGACGAAGATATGATATTAAAAACAGTTACTTTTATATTCGTATATCAACTCGATTTATCGCAGTGAACTAGAACTAAAAAGTACCGGAGATGTTGACATGAATCTTTCATAAGTGGTTATTTAACTAGAAAAAATACATTAAATATAACCTTATAACAAACCTTTATGGTAGCATGATAAGTTAAACGTTTCTTTTCGATTTGTGAAGCAGTATACGTGATTACCTGCATATGGAGTTTATGTCTCCCTGTTAATTGCAAACAGCCTGCTCTGTGTAAATATTTAAGACGAAGCAATCTATTGAAAAATAAGTTGATCACACAAGGGTTTGGGGGATTCAAAAGGTTTACTCGTTAATGCATATAAATAAGATAAAATAATAGTTTCCAGATTGTTACCTTAAGAAGTGACCATTTCACAAAATGCAAGAGTGATTACTTATCAATTTTGGTATGAAATTACATGTAATACCATTTGTTACAAGCAAAATTTTATTTCCGTAGATTAGATAAACAATATATATTTTTTTATCTTAAAAGTATATTTCTTACAAAATTTGAGTGGAAACCAAGAAAATATTATAATTTATAAAATACATAAATTAGGGAAATGACTTCACGTGAGCAGGATAAACAATTTAAAAAAAGCTACAATGAGTTTAATAGTTCATTTTGGAATTAGACATTTCTAAAGTTACACCATTTCCATCATAAATCGAAAAATATACTCGTATACCAATCCAGTAATAACATTTTTTATCTCAAGCAAGATCTCTTAAAGTTCGATTCAATATACAATAATGAAATAAATATATTATCGCATCAAATAAAAATATTTTTTTATATTTGGAATCTTTTCTTAGCACGAATAACGGAAATGACAATAACCCCTACCTGTCAATTGGTATCGCCTATCGGTCCAGTACAAATTAAGCAATGTATCGTTTTTGTTCTTGGTAACGGCGCGGGCAATCTGTGACACACTGCTAGTGAATGGCGCCACTTTGTTGCTCAAAAGGATAATGTTTGTTACTTTTTCTATATCATCCTTATCCTTAGATGGTCGGCACATTATTTCCAGTCCGCTTCTCTGTAGAACTATGACCCCTGGTGCAATTATGTCCACTCCCTGCAGAGCTTAAGGATGAAATTTATTTTAAAATAATGAAAAATGAAGTGCATTAACATAAAATATGATAATATATATTTGACACTCTTCTTGTCAATTTTAAAATTAATATTTACGAAATTTTGCATTCTTTCTCTTGAAAAACTTCTAATTGACTTCATTTGCAAGTATTTATCCATTATATTTAACAAATTTGATAAGTAATAAACAGATAGTTGAAACAGATAGTTGAAATATAATACAAATTTTGAAAATATCGTTATTAACTTTCGTATCAACTGGTTCTAGTGATTAATTGTATAATTTCAAAAGTAAATATAAGCATTCAAAAGTGGCCATCATGCAATTAAGAAGAATTTTTAGTGATCAGCGCTGGAAGCACACTGCTATTCACGCTAGAAGTGACAAAACAAAATGCATTGTTTTTAAGTATGAATGTGTTAAAATTTACAAAGTGTAAGGATAGTTCATAAGGATACAGACTCACCGACGTCGGCTGCACATAGGAAAACCAAAAACAAAGTCTGGTTCCGTTTCGTCATACTTTCTAACATCAGAAGCAGACACGGCAATAATTATCTGTTTACCAGCATAGCTGTCATGAAATTCAAGGTGCCTTTTTCTTCAAATACATGTTTCAGATCGGCATCTTTTGCTTTGATAGAAAAATTACTAGACAGACAGTGTCCATCAGTAAGATTGATCATGCGCGACCGCCACTAAACCGTGTCCGAATGACAATAAAAACAATACCTAAAAGGCTCTGGCATTCTTATCTGCTAATTTTATGAGCATATCATCGGTGCTTGTCAAATGAAGATCATAAATAATATCTAAGATTTCCAATATTTCCTTATCAGAGACAAAGTCTAAAATAATACCCTCATGATTATTTATATGACCTCTTGTATTATTACATTAGTCAAATTTCTGTATAACAAGAGACTACTTTATAACTCAGAAGTTGTACATTTTTATTCCCAGTCTACTGCTTTCTTACGAAAATGGAGTAGGAAGATAAACATTGTAACAACTGTAATCAATAAATACATTAAATTTTATACATATCCAGAACAACTAATAAACAATTACCAAACTAGCTGAACAACTATAATTTTTTTTTGTGTGTTTATATATTTTTCTTGTAATTCTGTTTATCCTTTTCTTCACATCTTTCAATATTATTTAACAGTAGCCCCCGATTTTGTCACTTCAGAATGGAATACACATTCTCATCTTTTGTTTTTTGCATTGTTGTCATGTATCCTCTACTCAATCTGCAAATAAAAATTGAATTAGTAAACTGTCAAAAAATGAAAAAATTATGAAGAAAAAAATGATGCATATTTTTTTCTGCAATTATTTAATAAACTTCTTTTAGCAGGCATGGAATCAATGTCGATGAAACTTTGCTCAACATCAAATACATATAGTATGGGTCTCATTTGCCATGAATACAGTCGTAAAATAAAAAAAAAAGTAATTTGTTTATAGATATTAAGCGATAAAATGGCAATATTTTAAACTTGTACAAGGATTTACATGGATGGAAACAGAATTGTTCAGTTTTTTATCATGCATATTTTATGTCCATAGTACTAAGTTATATCCTATTTTAAGGATTCAGGTTGTTATTTTTAATGTGAAATTAACTATATAATTGTATTTAGCAATTACTCTTTACATACGATGCATAAATTTATTAGTAAAAGGGGTTTGATATTTTTCGTCCTTCTGTCAATCATACATGTACATATTCTTTAAACTTTTCTCACATGTAAGCAATAGCTGCTTCTTTAAAGGAATATGATTATCGGTGCATGTGATGTATTTTAACACTTGAATAATGTTGGAATAAAAACAAAACATCTTTATAACAAAATTCTAATTCAAATTTTTAGTACATTTTTGTTCTTTCAATCCGGACTCTTTTTTTTCAAATACAAGATTTACAATTTTACAATTTCAATATTTGCAATGGAAGAGCAGTAATGAATTGATTGTTTGAAAAACCCATTAGTTAAAAAGACACATGGGCTATGATTATATCACTTTGTAAAGATAAATTTTAAAAAATCAATACTTTTCAATATTTTGTTTCTGTCATCATAGGTTTTGTAAAAGAAAGTTTATACAGAATATTTTTAATATGCGTTTAAGATACCAAGTCTAAATCTTTTAGACATCTTCCTATAGTAAACCATGACATAAAGCAATTGATCTTTGCCTGTATAATTTCATTCTATCAAAGAGTTCAGTTGGAGGACATTCTGTGTCTACTGAAAACTCCTTTAAATTGAAGATCATCATTACAAAGTTTGGCCCTAAAAATGAATTAAGTTCCACTTTTCAGGAAACAATGGTCCTAATATCGAAAAAAAGTAAGATATAGTTTTGCTTAACATGTGAAATGATTTAATTTATAGGCACATATAACATGAAAAAAAAAACCTGACAAACAACTCAACATTAACATGGATGATCTAACTTTTTAGCAATGGAGCAGGAAAGACTTTTGTCATTTGTTTGCGATAAATAACATTCTTACCTGTTAAAATCATCTGAAAAAAAAATGAAGAAAACAATTTTTTAAAAATAATTTATATTGATTTTAATTGTGTTCTTATTGAAATGGATTGTTGATTTTCGCCGGGCCTAAAGTTCATGATAAGTGCAATTTGAATCTCGTAATGTCAATTATATTATGCAACAAGGAATAACATGAGTCGACACAGATGCCTAGGCCTGTGTTAATATATAATTCATATTTGCCACAAAATGTGAGTAGCGGTATTTGTGTATGCGAGATAGAAAATATTAGATTTCGGATAAAAAAATTACATTAACATGCATGATAAAAGCAAATTATTCTCGAGTACAATTTTTTTTGTATCTCACTTCTTACATCTTTTTTTATAATGGTAACAAAGGTTTGGTACAAAGTTCGTTAAGGAAGAAGAACAAGTTTGATCAAATACCCAACCAACGTTATTTCCATGTGAGTACTTTACTCTGATCGTGTATAATTCATACCTGGTTCAGCATAGTGACCCGGGGCGTCTACGATAGAGGTCGGTATTTTTGGATCAGTTCTGCAGAAGAGCAATTTTGCAGATAAATTTGCAAACATTATTATTTATTTTATAGGCATTTTAAAGTAAACATCAAATCAATATTTCTATATGAAATCTATTGTGGAGGTTTATGACTTTAGTTACATATATAAAGCCTGTAAGTTTTTAATTCATACCCTTTTTCCTTCCCTAAAAATGCAAACAAACAAAAAAACAGGATTAAAGTCATTTAAAAATATCTCAAGATTTAAGATTTGTCATTTATATCCCTGAATTAGGTTTGTATGGCGTACTTACTTCGTCGTGATACAGATTTTATTGTCAGAACAATGCCTACTACTAATGACACAGTTCCAAACAAAGCAAGAACACCGCCGACCGGTAACAGGTAATCTAAAATCAAAATATCATAGTAGGTTCTTTATATTTTAAAAGTGTAAATGCAAAAATTCAATTTTGTAGCAAAATTATTTCATAAACATTAAAACATTATTCGAAGCTTACTTATCATCATTTTATCTTCATTGGCCATGGTACTGCTTATTTCCAAATTCTGGATCCCAAAATTGCATTCATTGCATGGCCCTGCATAATCAATTTAAGTTATATAGCTAATTTATAAAAACAAGAGGCCCATGAGCCACATCGCTCACCTGAGTAACTTTGGTGATGCAGTTCTTTTCAGGATTTACCCTCTATTGCCCCCTAATTATTTAGAATTTACACTACCCTAGGGTGCTTACATAAATTTCAGCTTTCCTGGCCCAAGGTTCTTGAGAAGATTTTTCCTATATATTACTATATTAAACTAAGATTCCCTATTATGGCCCCGCCCTACCAGTTCCAGTCATGATCTGAACAATTTAGAATCTATACTTTCCCAGAATACTACCACATAAGTGTCAGCTTTGAAGACCCAGTGGTTCTTGAGAAGAAGATTTTTAAAGATTTTTCCTATATAGTTCTATGTAAAACTTGGATTTTCTACGGTGGCCCTGCCCTATCCTCTGGGATCATGACTTTTATAATTTAGAATCTACACTACCCCAGGATGCTTCCACATAAGTTTCAGCTTTTCTGGTCCACTGGTTCTTGAGAAGAAGATTTTTCCTATTTATTTCTATCTTAAAATTGGATTACCTATTGTGGCTCTATCTTACCCCAGGGGTCATGATTTTAACAATTTAGAATCTACACTACCCCAGGATGCTTCCACAGAAGTTTCAGCTTTCCTGGCTTACTGGTTCTTGAGAAGATTTTTTATGACCCCACCCATTTTTTTTCTTTTCTTGGTTATCTCCCCTTGGAGCAAAAATTGGCCCTTTAATTTAACAATTTCAACTCCCCATCACCCAAGGATGCTTTGTACCAAGTTTAGTTAAAATTAGCCCAGTGGTTCTTGAGATGAAGTCGAGAATGTGAGAAGTTTAGAGACGGACGGACGTACAACGGACAAAATGTGATCAGAAAAGCTCACTTGAGCCTTCGGCTCAGGTGAGCTAAAAAGTCCTGAAACATATTATCAGAGTCTCCGAAAATACGCTCCTTGAAAGGATAAATTAATTACTGATGTCAATTTAAAGAGGAGCAAAAATCTTAAAGTAAAGTTTTTTTTTTACCTTGTACACATGTCGACCCATCCTTGTACACAGTTGCTTCCGTACCATTCTTTAAAGTAAAACTCATTTCACAGCGAAACAATCTACTATCGGAACACAAAACGTCCTCACTTTTTACATACACACCGAGATATGCTTTTTCAACCATACTGATATTACCTGGAAAAAAAAACACGATTTATTTTAAATGTAATAATCTTGAATTAAAACCCGTTAATTTAAGGTCACCTGAAGCACTTAGATTTCTATCTGTTTTCACCCGTCGTCGTTCGTCGTGTGTTAACATTTGAACATTTTCAGCTTCTTCTCTGAAACCACTGAACCAGTTTCAACCAAATTTGGTATACAGCATCTATAGGTGTATGGAAACAATTGTGAATTTTATGGTCCCCGTCCCCCGGGCCTGGGGTCTGAGGGGTGGGACCAAAACCACTAAAATTAATGCAATCTTTAAAAATCTTCTTCTCTACTTCTGGACATCAAGCAGTCAAACTGTTGACATGAATGGCATTGAGTCCTCTACCAAAATTATGAACGTCATGGCCCAAGGGTCAGGGGTCTTAGTGATAAGGCGGGGCTATAAAGATTATATAGTGAAAATGCATTATTTCTTTGAAAATCTTCTACTCTGCTCCTAGATATTAAATAAACCAACGAAGTACATAGTTATGATGAGCAAGAGTGCCTCTATCAAAATTGAGAATTTTATGGCCCCAGGGTCAGGGGTTCTGGTGTTAGGGCGGGGCTCTACTGATTATATAATGAAAATGCAATTATTTTTTTTTAAAATATTCTCTGCCCCTAAGTATTAAATACACTAAATACATAGTTATGATGAGCTAGATTGCTTCTACCAAAATTGTGAATTTTATGGCTCCAGGGTCAGGGGTTCTGGTGTAAGGGTGGGGCTCTATTGATTATGTAGTGAATAATTCTTTGAAAATCTTTTTCTCTGCTCGTGGGTATAAAGTAAACCAACTAAGTACATAGTTATGACGAGCAAGAGAGCTTCTACCAAAATTGTGAATTTTATGGCTCCAGGGTCAGGGGTTCTGGTGTAAGGGCGGGGCTCTATTGATTATATAGTGAAAATTCATTAATATTTGAAAATCTTCTCTGCTCCTGGGTAATAAGCATATGAACTACTAGTATAGTTATAATGAGCAAGGCTCTTCCAGAATCGTAAATTTCTAGGCCCCTGGGTCAGGGGTACCATAGAAGGGGGGTGAGTATACTTATATACTGAAAATGGATTGTTTGAAATCTGCTCCTTGGTATTAATCAAACATTTTTGATAAACAAATGTGCCTTTTCAAAAATTGTGAAATGTGTGGACCTAGGGTAGGGGTTCATGTGTGGTACGTAGGGGCATTGCTGATTATTGCTGAACATAACTGATTTGTTGAAATGCATTTTTCCCCTACCCTGCCTATGGGTATTAAGTAACCAAACTTAGCAATTGCTAATTCAAGTGTATAGTAATGATTTGTTATGAACTTTGGATAAAAAATATTAAAGGAAAAAATTACAATGCAAAAACGTAATATTCATTGCTCCGTACGTAGTACTAAGAGAAGGATATGCAGATAACGAACAGTATTCAATCTCAAAGTCCATAAAACAATACAAAATAAGAGCAGAGCAAACACGGACCCCCAAAACATCAGAGGTGGGATCAGGTGCCATGGAGGAGTGAGCATCCCCTGCCGGTCACACCCGCCGTGTGCTCATTGTCATGATTAGGAAATAACGGAAACATCCGTCGTCAATTCAGTGTATAAATAATGGACTAACAATTGGTATGAAAAACGTCCGTCAGCATTTGACTCGATGATAAATTGTATTTGCTGACAAGGTCATTGTATCGACCATAGAACTTACGAAATGCACCGACCCCATTTTTGTTTTGATTTTTATTAATCTAGCTGTGGTGTGTAGATTCTAAAAATATACTTGTCACTTTTGATGACAGGAACCAACTTCCTTAACATATTATTATATTTACCTGTAATATTGTATCTCCCTGTCTTTGCAGGGCCCATTTGAATTTCTGCACTTCCAAACTCTGTGCTTTTGACGATTCTTGATAATTTTGATGCTGTTGTTCCTAGTTTTCCTCCGTCGTGTTCCACGTATACTCTAATCATTTCGATACTGTCTATCACCTTCTTTGAATCCTCTTGTGGCTCGCAGTATACAGTCATACTATCCTTACCAAACAGTATCGGTCTCTTCATAAATATTTCTACTTCAGCTGTAATTGAGGAAAATCTCATTAAATCTACAATACAGTCTTAAAGAAGTCCTTCACTGAAAACCAGAAGTCTCTGTCGAGACTGTAGCTCTACTGGTTTATACTTAAAATAAAGGAAGAGAAAAATAGCAGTTGGGACTTGAAACTTTAAAACAGCAATAAATAGAAAAATTATTCTTGCCACTAATCAAAATAATAACCGATGCATAGAATTATGTATCTTAGTATAGTCTACTTGTGTGCCAAGTTATACTGAAATCGGACCAAAACTGTAGGAGGAGTAGCACTTTGAAAGAATTTCACAGAAATTTCTATTTTTAGTAACCATGGCAACACCATTCACCGAAATTAAAAACCTATGCATAGAATTATGTATCTTAGTGTAGTCTACTTGTGTGCCAAGTTATATTGAAATCAGACCAAAAATGTAGGAGGAGTAGCATTTTGAAAGAATTTCACAGAAATTTCTATTTTTAGTAATTATGGCAACACCATTCATCGAAGTCAAAAACCGATGCACAGAAATATGTATCTTAGTGTAGTCTACGTGTGTGCCAAGTTATATTGAAATCGAACCAAAACTGTAGGAGTAGCATATTTAAAGAATTTCATAGAAATTTCTATTTTAAGTAACCATGGCAATACCGTTCATTGAAATCAAAAACCGATAATTATTATTTGGTCCAGCATAGATCTTTAGCCTATTTCGAGTATGCTGAATCCGAAAAAATATGCTGGCCTTCATGAAAATGGCGTTAAAGAGGTCAAAATGGCGATTCAAAATGGCGGACATCAAATTTTTCTAATTTTCTCTTGATCTCGTTCAAAATGGAGAAGTAATGAGTGAATATCTAACTGAGTGTAATAAAACTATAAAAATTATAATATGATGCTAACATTATTAGTTAAGCTCAGAAAATTTAGTCGTTTCTATACTTAATTCGAATTTTCTCTTGATTTTTTGGTCTATTGTTTCTATATTCCGCTTTGTTCAGGATTTTACATTTCAAAATATCCATACACTGCAGATTTGTATTTTTTCCTCTGCATCTCACTATTCTACAATTGAATGATGGTGCAGCTGTAAGTTAAAAGTCAAAATGGCGGAAATTCATCCTCTTTTAAAAATTATTTCTTAATGTCATTTACATAGGAGAAAGGATTTGTGAATATCTTACTGAGCGTAGTACAACTGTGTAAAATGCCAACAGAACACTAATTTGATCACTTTTAATCGGAAAATTTAGTCGTTTAAATTTGAAATGTGTTAATTAGCTCAAAATGGCGATTCAAAATGACGTCTGATACACTCGAATTTCGTAGAAAATGCATAATTCTGGTTCGTTTTGCAGAAAATAAATTACAGTTTGTTTTATATATATATATAGTATATATAGTATAACGATTAGTCCATTATATATGAACAAAAAATACTTGAAAAGATTCATTTTTTTCTGCAAATAGTTAAAACAAACGCGATTTAAGAGTTTTTCCAAATTTCCCCCTTCGTATTTGACCGTACGTGTTCCAAAGCCTTTGAGCCCCCGTCCACCTAAAATCTCTCCTGAATCCTGTCATTATCAACTCGCATTTCTACCTCAACATCCCTCGGCACATCATCAAATATAACTGAAGAAATTCTTGTCCGATTTCATTGAACACTTTGTTCTAGCTTTTTAGCACTTATAAGAACTTAGTATCATCCCCTAACATCTTCTATTCCAGCTTTATTTGCTATATGTTTCAGTCTGTCTTCGGAATTTTGGTATTTTCAACACTCAAGTAAAATGGTGCCCCGTGTCAAGGATGACAACCCCCTTGGCATGTAAAAGATCGTTTCTCTGGAGTTCAAAAAAGAGTAAGCCCATAGGGGCCGCCAGAGAAACCAAAATCCTTCAAAATCCGATTATTTAAACTGATAGTCCACCGAAACATGGCTGAAAAATTGCTGACTCGGCGTTAAACAATATACAACCAATCAACCAACACTCAAGGAACAAAACATTTATTTAAGGAATGACTTTAATTCTTGGCCATATTATCGAGTATAATCTGGTTTGGGTCAGTTTACGCTTTATAATCCGCGAAGCGGATTATAAAAAAGCGTAAACTGACCCAAACCAGATTATACTCGATAATATGGCCAAGAATTAAAGTCATTCCTTATAATTTAATTTTAAAATAATTAAACAACTTTTGATGTAAAATTGTGTTGCTTTTTATAAGTTCAAATTTACCGCGCAATAATACAACCGTAGTAACGGAAGTGATTTGAAGCGAGGGGAGGTAATGACTGATTCATAGATATAGCAGCCATGATGTTTGTTTACATGAGGTAAGAACGAGTAATTGATTAAAGTTGAAGGTACATTTATTAAATCTGGAATTTTCCATGGATTCCGAGGACTGGAAATGAGGGGATTGCATGGATATGATGATTAAGCTGGTCGTCAAGGGGGTGTGTCCCCATACCAAACCAGATTATACAAAATGTTATGCGTTCCTTTTTGGTAATCAACCAATGAGAGGCGAGAATACAAATAAAATTAAATTATGTTCAAATGTTAAAAGTCTATTTTGTTATCCAAAACCATATGCAAAATGAACTAGAAGTACTATGAACAATTAGCTCACTAAATGATACCCCGGTCTCCAATTTGAATATAATGACAGTGTCCATGTTTTGCTATGGGAAACCCAAAATATGTGTCGGATCAAAAAGTACCCGTGGTAAAATAGGAGGTCACATTGGCAATATGTAATAAAGATTCTGTGAAAGTTTCATCAAATTTCATTCAGTGGTATGAGAGGAGTTGCGGATAAGAGATGGTTACCCCAAAGCGTAACAGACGGACATACCGATTACTCTATACCCTCCCGCTTTTCAAGCGGGGGTATAAAAAAAATCTCTGATATTCAAGACATGTAGCTCTTTGTTTTGTGACCGCGTATAGATGTGTTGTCTTTTAGAGTAGAAACGTCATTCTGTTAGCAAGAAAATTCTCAAACTTGATCATCTGAAATCACATTGTGTGCATATTTTGGTGAGAAAAGTTGTAAAATTATGCAATTTAAGAGCGCCTGCAGATTCCTCGTGATTCCTATCAGTTACAAGCTTTCGCACCAATAGGCCTAAGCCACTCCTGATTTCGATCTAGTCAACACTTCTCTTGACAACAAAATTTTCTTGAACACTTCAAGAACTTTACATAACACCTTGGTCCACACTTCTTTGATAGGTCTGATCATAGTGTAAGGTTGTATCAAGAATCGAGGGGGGGGGGGGATTGAACACAAACATTTTCTTCTTTCAGATTTTGTAAATTTCATTTCATTTTTTTTTTAAATTTATATACACTGTTCAATACAAAATTATCCGTTCACGGCATGAAATATTTGAGAATGCAGTTGGATTTTTCACTAAGAATAACAAAAAAAAAATGTAGGAACACAGAATCAGAGCTGGACAATCAAGAAAATTTATGGTATATTATACTGATAATTCTTAACATATACATTTGTATGTTTATATTTGGATATTATAGTACATTCAGATTTATATGATGTAACAATTACTAGCCCTATAATTGGTCGTGGTCAATCATTTTAGAAATCATACTAATTTATGTTGCACTAGACCTTCCACATGAACATAAACATTTTTTTTTTTCTACACTGGACTAAAAATAGATCAAGAATTTCCAACAACTTAATGCTCGGGGGATACTGCTCTTCGGGTAGCTTGATTTTCATATTGTCCTCAAAACAGCAATTATTGTATGATATTATTAACTTTTTATATGAAGAAGCATGGTGAGACAGGTAAAAGGTAAAATTTCTTCGGAATTGTCGTCAAAAATTTATCTTAACAATAGAAGTAATTAAACAAAAATCCGTGTTATAAAAATCCTACTTCATTAACAAAAATTTTCAAGTTCAAGTTCATTTATTCACTCAAAACCATTTAAAATACATGGTACATGAGGACAATGAAAAATATTTACAGCATATATACATTCAGGTCAGAGGCATAAGTATATGATATACATAAGACAATGAAATGGGAGAAAAAGAAAAACCAGAAGTCTCTGTCGAGACTGAAGCTCTACTGGTTTGTACTTATAGCAAAGGAAGAGAAAAGTACTTAAGCAGTTGGAAATTGAAACTTTTCAACAGCAATAAATAGAATAATGATCCTTGATTAAGTCTCTTGATGTTCTTAGTGCAGTCTACTTGCATGCCACATTTATATTATAATCAGACTAAAATTGTATTTGGAGTAGCATTTTGAAAGAATTTCACAGAAATTTCTATTTTTAGTAACCACGGCAACACTGTTCATCGAACTCAAAAACCGATACACAGAATTATGTATCTTAGTGTAGTCTACTTGTGTGCCAAGTTATATTGAAATCAGACTAAAACTGTAGGAGGAGTAGCATTTTGAAAGAATTTCACAGAAATTTCTATTTTTAGTAACCACGGCAATACTGTTCATCGAAATCAAAAACCGATATACAGAATTATGTATCTTAGTGTAGTCTACTTGTGTGCCAAGTTATACTGAAATCAGACTAAAACTGTAGGAGGAGTAGCATTTTGGAAGAATTTCACAGAAATTTCTATTTTTAGTAACCTCGGCAACACCATTCATCGAAATCAAAAACCGATACACAGAATTATGTATCTTAGTGTAGTCTACTTGTGTGCCAAGTTATATTGAAATCAGACTAAAACTGTAGGAGGAGTAGCATTTTGAAAGAATTTCACAGAAATTTCTATTTTTAGTAACCACGGCAACACCGTTCATTGAAATCAAAAACTGATACACAGAATTATGTATCTTAGTGTAGTCTGCTTGTGTGCCAAGTTATATTGAAATCAGACCAAAACTGTAGGAGGAGTAGCATTTTGAAAAATTGTTTACAGACAGACAGACGGACAGACAGACAGACAGACGGACGGACGACGGACGCATTACTATCGCATAAGCTCTTCTGGTCTCTGACCAGTAGAGCTAAAAATGAAGAGAAAAAAAATGAAAATAAAAATGGAAAAAGGGGGGGCGGGCGGGGGAAACACGTTCCAACTTCATTGCATATTTGAACATTATTTCATGAATAAAACTAGAAGTCTCTGTCGAGACTGTAGCTCTACTGGTTTGTACTTATCAAAAACCATTGCACTATTTTATGTATCTTTGTGTAGTCTACATGTGTGCCAACTAATTTTGAAATCAAACTAAAACTGTAGAAGGAGTAGCGTTTTGAAAGAATTTCACAGAAAATTCTATTTTTAGTAACCATGGTAACACAGTTCATCGAAATCAAAAACCGATGCACTATTCTATGTATCTTAGTGTAGTCTACTTGTGTGCCAAGTTAAATTGAGATCAGACCAAAACTGTAGAATGAGTAGCATTTTAAAGGAATTTCACAGAAAATTCTATTTTTAGTAACCATGGCAACACCATTCATCGAAATCAAAAAACGATGCACTATTCTATGTATCTTAGTGTAGTCTACATGTGTGCCAAGTTATATTGTAATCAAAAAACTGTAGAAGGAGTAGGGTTTTAAAGGAATTTCACAGAAAATTCTATTTTTAGTAACCATGGCAACACCGTTCATCGAAATCAAAAACCGATGCACTATTCTATGTATCTTAGTGTAGTCTACTTGTGTGCCATGTTATATTGAAATCAGACCAAAAGTGTAGAAAGAGTAGCATTTTTCAGGAGTTTCACAGAAAATTCTATTTTTAGTAACCATGGCAACACCGTTCATCGAAATCAAAAACCGATGCACTATTCTTTGTATCTTAGTGTAGTCTACTTGTGTGCCAAGTTATATTGAAATCAGACCAAAACTGTAGAAGGAGTAGCGTTTTTAAGGAATTTCACAGAAAATTCTATTTTTAGTCACCATGGCAACACCGTTCATAGAAATTAAAAACTGATGCACTATTCTATGTATCTTAGTGTAGTCTACTTGTGTGCCAAGTAATACTGAAATCAGACTAAAATTGTAGGAGGAGTAGCGTTTTGAAAAATTGTTTACAGACAGACGGACAGACAGACAGACAGACAGACGGACGGACGCCGGACGCATTACTATCGCATAAGCTCTTCTGGTCTCTGACCAGTAGAGCTAAAAACAAACTGTAATTTATTTTCTGCAAAACGAACCAGAATTATGCAGTTTGTGTATTTTCCAAAATTCGAGCGTATAAGACGTCAATTGAAATGCCATATTGAGCTAATTAGCACATTTCAAATTTAAACGACTAAATTTTCCGATTTAAAGTGATCAAATTAGTGTTCTGTTGGCATTTTACACAGTTGTACTACGCTCAGTAAGATATTCACAAATCCTTTCTCCTAAGTAAATGACAATAAGAAATAATTTTTAAAAAGGATAAATTTCCGCCATTTTGAATCGCCATTTTGACTTTTAACTTACAGCTGCACTATCATTCAATTGTAGAAAAGTGAGATATAGAGGGAAAAATACAAATCTGCAGTGTATGGATATTTGCAAATGTAAAATCCTGTACAAAGAAGAATATAGATACAATAGACAAAAAATCAGAGAAAATTCAATTAAGTGTAGAAACGACTAAATTTTCTGAGTTTTACTAATAATGTTAGCATCATATTATGATATTTATAGTTTTATTATACTCAGTTAGATATTCACTCATTACTTCTCCATTTTGAACGAGATCAAGAGAAAATTAGAAAAATTTGATGTCCACCATTTTGAATCGCCATTTTGACCTCTTTAACGCCATTTTCATGAAGGCCAGCATATTTTTTCGGATTCAGCATACTCGAAATAGGTTAAACAAGAGGCCCAGGGGCCACAGCGCTCACCTGAGCACATTGGGCTTGAATTTATCCCCCCCCCCCCTCTAGGCGTTCATCATTTGAACAAATTAGAATCTACACTACCTAAGGATGATTCCATATAAATATCACTAATCATAGCTTTGAAATACTTGAAAAGAAGATTTTAAAAGGTTTCCCTATATATCCCTATGTATAACAAGGGTCGGCCATTTTGGCCCCACCCTTGCCCCGGGGGTCATGATTTGAACAAACTTGAATCTACACTACCTGAGGATGATTCCACATGAGTTTCATCTTTCCTGGCCCAGTGGTTCTGGAGAAGAAGATTTTTCCTATATATTCCTATGTAAAACTTGGGTCGGCCATTTTGGCCCCACCCTTGCCCCGGGGGTCAGGATATGAACAAACTTGAATCTACACTACCTGAGGATGATTCCACATGAGTTTCATCTTTCCTGGCCCAGTGGTTCTGGAGAAGAAGATTTTTAAAGATTTTTCCTATATATTCCTATGTAAAACTAGGGTCGGCCATTTTGGCCCCACCCTTGCCCCGGGGGTCAGGATATGAACAAACTTGAATCTACACTACCTGAGGATGATTCCACATGAGTTTCATCTTTCCTGGCCCAGTGGTTCTGGAGAAGAAGATTTTTAAAGTTTTTTCCTGTATATTCCTATGTAAAACTTTGGTCGGCCATTTTGGCCCCACCCTTGCCTCGTGGGTCATAATTTGAACAAACTTGAATCTACACTACCTGAGGATGCTTCCACTTGAGTTTCATCTTTCCTGGCCCAGCGGTTCTGGAGAAGAAGATTTTTTAAAAATGCCATCAATTTTTAACAAATTCATGATTATCTCCCCTTGCAAAAGGGCGTGGCACTTCATTTGAACAAACTTGAATCCCCTTCACCCAAGGATACTCTGTGCCAAGTTTGGTTGAAATTGGCCCAGTGGTTCTTGAGGAGATGATGAAAATGTGAAAAGTTTACAACGACGACAACAACAACAACGACAGACGACGGACAAATTTTGATCAGAAAAGCTCACTTGAGCCTTCGGCTCAGGTGAGCTAAAAACTATGCTGGACCAAATAATAATTATTTGCCGTTAGAAGTTATTTCTAGCCTTCTTTTTAAAAATCAGGACCAGACTACAAGAAATTTAACAAACTACCTACGTAAACTGTTTCTTAACCGCCATTTTTATTTACAATAACAACGCTTCGAACGGAATCGCGTGCCCGATTTTCATATTACTCCTCGACGGAGACGTAATACGGAAAATTTCGGGGCGTCATGTGATCAGCCGTTATCCAATCAGCAATCTACAAATTTGTCTGAAGCGGGATAAGTATATACCCGGGTCTCCGAAAGACCCTTAATTAAGATTGATTGATTGTGTATTGTTTAACGTCCCTCTCGAGAATTTTTCACTTATATGGAGACGCCACCACTTGCAGGTGGAGAGCTGCAAATTTTGTTCTATACTCGGTACTCAGGGCCATTGAGCAGGGAGGGATCTTTTTCGTGCCAGCACCTACTGCGACACGGGACCTCGGTTAATACGGTCTCATCCGAAGGACCGGTCTCCACGTCCCACCCGCGACGTAAGGATTGACTCCTTACTCCGCGACTCTAGAGCAGACTAGCTGCAATAATGTAGCCCTCTCCTTTTTTTTTGGGGGGGGGATACAACTCCTTAGGATCTCCGTAATGGTGTAGAGCGGAAGCGATTCGCTCCCGCACGGATTTCGGCTTGATTTGTTAGTAAACGACTATTTTATTTATGTGTCTTACCTGGACTTCCAAAATGTAGTTATCCCAGACATAAATTGATCCAAAAATATACAGAACAATCCATATATCAGTATTTTTCGTGTATGTCAACATCACAACTTAAATTTATCCGCCATGTTTACTGACCTTGACAGATTTTATTTCGGGACAGCCAATGAGATTAAGGATCTATGGGGAGCGGATTTTTTTGGAATTACCTTATTTTAAGCTTAAATATCGGTGTTTACAAAAAAATGAAACATGGAATGATTTTATTTATCGATGTTTAGTGTTACTATTCATCACAATTATTTATAAACATCGACATTTGCTTTATCGAGTTGTTCTAAATTTCAAGCGCAAGTCTCACTACGTCACGCGTGAACTGTCATGGCTGCTGAAGTAAATGCACAGATTTATTTTACATGGTTTTCGCGTTTAACGAGCTTTGATGTCGACAGTGAATAAAAAATTCGTCTTATTAGAAGTAAGTTGATTGTGAAAACAATTTATTCTGCCTGCAGTCGCCAGTATTTACAAAATATTTTGAACCATTACGGAGATGCTGTGGAATTGTAGCCCTCTCCAGAAAACATCAGATAAAAAAAATCGAAGAGGGCTACATTGTTGCAGCTAGAGCAGACGCCCTAAGCACCGCGCCACGCGGGCGACCCCTTAATAAAGAAAATATTGTCTAAAAACTAGTTTAATAATTTTATACAATCACAGTATGATTTTTTAAAAATTGTCATTTTTCTCAAAGCTACACTAAACCGAAATAGACGGAATTGACAATAAATTAAAAATGCGATACAAGATCATCTCTGCACACACAAACACAGAGAGAGAGAGAGAGAGAGAGAATAAGCAAATTTAATAAATACATATACTTTACAGTTTGATGGAGAAAAGTTTCATTTCCCCCCAAAAGGCTAGAATAAAAACATCGTAGTACTCATCCCTTACCTTTTATTAAGAAATGTTTCAGGAAATACACAAACATAAAAGCAGTTAACCTCATTGTGTTTGATGTTAAATAGAAGTGTTGTTGACTGCAGTAGTTTTATTACACATACTTTGAAGGAAAACTTCTGTGCCATATTGAAACCGGACATTTTGTGATGATCTCAATTTCCGATCTAACTCGGTTACGTGATCTGTAAAATAATGTACAGTTAGCACTCACTATATCCGGCAACGCATTTTTTCCCTGGCTAGGAAATTTTGTATCTCTTAATAGCTTTAGCAACAGGAGAGACAAATATAGCAAATGTTTTGTTTTTTGTTAAACCCTCTCGAAAGTTCTTTTACCATCACTTGCCAGTTAAGGGTTGCAAGTATTCTAAAAACCCGGGACCAATGATCACAGAGGGGTCTTTTTCGTGCCAGCACCTACTGCGACATGGTTTCAATATGATCAAAATTGTGCTTCCAGGATTTTAATTATTATTCATTGGATCAGTGAAATAATTCGTTAATGATGAGAAGCATTGTGTATAGAACATCTGAGAAAAAAAGAGTTAATTTCATTGCATAATGTAACGATTATTTTTAGATTTGTCAATGCTATTTTATCCCATAAGATAATTATTTATACAGAGATAAGAATACAACACCAAATGTTAGTTTTTTATATTTAATGTTATGGCGAGTATTGGTCGTGGCATAATAATTCACAAACAATTTGGGATGCCATTTCAATTGGGCAAACCCATCAATTCAAATCAATCTGTGTATACACTAACCGTCCCGGGTTTACCGCGGAGGGTCAGCACACATCAAACAAAGTTCAAAGTTCAAATGTCAAAGTTCAAATATCAAGTTCACATATCAATCATCAGATCTCAAACTCAAATTAGTTCAAATATCAAATATCTCAAAATTTAAAATTCAAATAGATCTCAAAATCAAATATGCATTTTTTAAGTTCACATTTAATATCACTGTCACATAGTACTACACTTAACTGTGGTTCACACATCAACACAGTCCAGTTGAGTATAGTACAAGTTTCACACAAACATTGTCAACAGTTGGCTTGGTGTGCGCAGATCGTCATCAATCCAAGATAGTGCCACGACGGTTCCTGACGCATGTATCCAACAAAGTCCAAATGGAATTGATGCTCCAAATCCTGAAAAAGAGGAGAAAAACCCCAAGCACCAGAACTTTTTTGTTTTAATAACAATTGAACATACAACTTAATATCTGATGTGGAGGGAGGGAGGGTATTTGAGATTTACTAGAAAAATTATTTAAATTTACCAGCAACAAAATTTAACGTCTATACCTTTTGAATGGTTCAGCAGGAAGGAAGGTGAAGGACAAACCCAAGTCTTTATATACCTCTGTAGTCAGGCCGAGCCCGACTCAAACAAAATACTTCTCTCGTAAAATAAAGGCATCTATTTTGTATATAAGCAAATAGATGCTATTATTTATACAGAGATAAGAATACAACACCAAATGTTGTTTTTTATATTTAATGTTATGGCGAGTATTGGTCGTGGCATAATAATTCACAAACAATTTGGGATGCCATTTCAATTGGGCAAACCCATCAATTCAAATCAATCTGTGTATACACTAACCGTCCCGGGTTTACCGCGGAGGGTCAGCACACATCAAACAAAGTTCAAAGTTCAAATGTCAAAGTTCAAATATCAAGTTCACATATCAATCATCAGATCTCAAACTCAAATTAGTTCAAATATCAAATATCTCAAAATTTAAATTTCAAATAGATTTCAAAATCAAATATGCATTTTTTAAGTTCACATTTAATATCACTGTCACATAGTACTACACTTAACTGTGGTTCACACATCAACACAGTCCAGTTGAGTATAGTACAAGTTTCACACAAACATTGTCAACAGTTGGCTTGGTGTGCGCAGATGCCACATGGCTGCATACTGGCACAGTTTGCAGTCACCCCACACAAGGGGGAAAGCCACAAGCCAACTGATCCACGCCAATACTGCCCTAGACCCCCCAAACTTTTTCTATGTACTTACAGACTTGTCTGGATACACGCAACCCCTTTTTAGAGCAAAGTATTCAAGGCCTCCCTGAATTGTATTAAGAAAAATGGAGTTTCCTACTTCTGTTAAATGTACACCATCAGGAAGCAAAAATTGAGTGATATCTTTTGATCAAATCTGGATATTTCAGATAGCAGCCCCCTTGTTTCAATATGTATTTGGCTACTGCCCTATTTAAACGGTTCCTATAATTTTCCATGGCCATTAAGTCTTCTGAATATCGCCATTGAACCCGGGGAAGGATTTGGGACCATATAAGGATGGTCTGGGGGAAGTGACCCTTAATTTCATCTAAATCTGTCTGGAATTTTTTAATAAGTTCAAATAAAGAATATGCTCTGGTACCAATGTCATTGCCCCCACAATGTAAAACAATAAAGTTAGGATCATTTTCAAAATTCTTCAGGTGCAAGAGTTTTCTTTTTACTTCAATAAATTTAAGTCCAGAGTAGCCCTGCCACCATATATTTAATCCGACTCTTTCTAAAGCAAGGTTGGCCCCCGAGGGACTTTTAAAGGCTTCAAAGAATGCTCTTTTTATAATGGAGGAACCCACACACCATACTTGCAAGGGGGCTGCAAAACAAAAAACTTTCCAAGTTCTCATAAAAACTATACCTGTTGATAACTTAATGAATTTATAAGTTCTAACTAACAATAAAGTGACAGTTGTATAATAACTATTGCAAGGTTATGTAGTAAGCACTTAAACAACTCAGACCTGTATATAATATTACATATTTACATATTACATATAATAATAACAACAATTCTATTTTCTTCTTAAGCCTGCCAATGGAGACCTAATGTAAGACTTGTAAACCTGTGATTTCCAACGACCTGCCTCCATTATAGAATCCTCTGAACAACCTAATTCAAATGCAGCTGTTGCCGCTCCTATGCGAAAAGAATGGGATTTGTAATTGCCCTCCACTTTACAGACCTTCAACACTTTGCCCAAAACTGATGAGAACTGTGATCTAGTCAGTGGTTCACCACCAAAATGACAAAATAATGCTCCCTTGACTTTGGGCCTTATAGACAGGAACTCTCTCAAGCATCTGATTGGACAAACATTGCCACCTACTCCTTCAACACATATTGTAACACCCTTGCCTGTTTGATCAGATTTAGACTGTTTAATGACTAATAATAGATTTGCTTCATCTTGATCAAATTTAATATCTGAAATTTTCAAAATTGAATTACTGTCATTGCCTACAGTTAAACAAATTTCTCCCACTCTAAGAAAAGCAAAGAAAGCCAATGAATATGCTGCCTTAAAAAGCAAAGTCACATATCTATTGAAACATACTGAATGTAACATATGCAATATCCTATCAAGTAAAGTGTGGGTGATAGGAAGTCTAGAATCAGCTGATTTGTTAAGCCTCCTCATCCCTTCTAATAGTTTTGTAACCATGAAATTCCTAGTGACATCATTACAATTTTGAATTTTGCAGTTAAAGCTTATTGCTGATACATAAGATCTAGCTGTTGAAGATGAGTATCCTAAGCGTGACAAGTAAGCAATGTATTGAATCACATGACTAGGTAACGGTGGCCAGATGTCGTCCAAGTCAAAAGTAGACCTGAATTTGTGAAATGATGCGAGTCCTGTCTGATATGACAGCTTGGTGTTCGTAGAAATTGATGCCTGAAGTAAACGGTGTATTTCAGATTGTATATCATGTTCACTAACTCCCCTGGTGGGACTTCTGGATTTGGCTTGGCTGCTGGTGCCAATTCCTTGAACCTCTGCCACTGTTTCCGAGAAATAGAGTCCGCAATGTTATTATCAATACTAGAAATATGTTTTGCTTTAAAAACAACATTATTTACCATGAGTTTCAGAACAAAATGCCTAACAAGCTCCATAATTCTCTTGGATTTAGATGTTTGCTTATTGATTATACTTACTAGAGCTATATTGTCAATATGAAATAAGACCTTTTTCTTAACTAGCAAATTCCCCCAAATTTCAATTGCTATCACTACTGGAATTAACTCAAGAAATGTAATATCCTTCATAATTTCCTGATTCTCCCAATGTTTGGGCCAAGGAAGAAAAAACCAACTACCTTGAAAATAAGCCCCACATCCTAGAGCATTAGAACCCGCACTATCGGTGTAAAATTCTAAGATATTAGAATCCTGCCAATCCGTATCTGAGAAGTATGTTACCCCGTTAAAGTGCTTCAGGAAAATCTCCCAAATTTTTAAGTCACTTTTCATATCTAAAGTTAATCTGATGTGATGGAATGGCTTACAACCCCCAGACATTGCGTCATAAAATCTACGAATAAAAGCCCTACTAGATCTTATTGCTTTACAAAAAAAATTAAGAGTTCCCACTAATGATTGCAATTCCTTAAGAGTCACTTTTCGCCTAACAAGAAAATCTTCAATAGTTTGTAATAAAGCATCAACTTTATCTTGGGGTATTTTAATAGTCATTTCTACTGTATCAATTACAAAACCCAGATATGTTAACTTTGTAGTAGGCCCTGTGGTTTTTTCATCAGCTAACGGAACCCCAATGTCAAAGGCTAATGATATAAATTGAGACATAAGAAGATCACATTCATGAGTTTCTTTTCTCCCTGCAAAAATAAAATCATCCAGATAATGATCCAAAGTTTTAAGTCCCGATTTGTACCCTGTCAGCCAATGTAAAAACGTGGCAAAAGTTTCCCAAATTTTACAGCTAATGCTACACCCCATAGGTAAACATTTATCTATATAGTACAATCCATCTAGCGAAAAACCAAGCAAATCAAAATCTCCTGGGTAAATGGGTATCAACCTAAAGGCACTCTTGACATCAACTTTCCCTAATAACGCCCCCCTTCCCAACCTAGCAATCATGTCTATTACTCCATCAAATGAAGAATATTGTACTGAGCAGAGCTCAGGATCGATAAAATAGTTAATACCACTTAACTCAGGGTAAGAGAGGTGGGATATCATCCTCCAACCCCCATCAGATTTGGGGACAACACCTACTGGAGATAAATGCAAGTTTGCTATGGGTAATTCAATAAAAGGACCC